TCGCCACGTTTGCTTTTTGGCGTCCCACTCAGCATCCGTCAAAATCTCTTTGGTCCTCAGCTGTGACGAATCAAGCATTTATTGTGATATTTTTCCCCAGTGGTATTGAAACATTTAAGTTATTATTGTATGATGAAAAAGGAAAAATGCAAGATAAATGCAATGACCAAGGATCTGGATCGCCTTTGCACAGCCCGCAAAGCATGGGTGGACCATTTCTTCAGGAGAAACCATCTGCAAGTTGGAGGGCTGCTCTGTGTCCACATCGGATTTGGACACGGCAACTTGGAGTTGCGCGCGAAACTCCTCACCGAACTCTCCCAAGACACTGGCGATGTCCTCCTGCACCTGCAGGTAGTAGCTGCGGTTTGCGGCATCGTTCAGAGCGGCATCATCAAGTGCAGGCTGGGCACCCGGAGGTGCTGGAGCTGCTGCCTTGGCAGCGCCTCGGACGCCTGCTTTGGCCTTAGCCTTAGCAGCTTGCTGCGTCTGCCGTTGGGCTTTGGCAGCGACGGCGTTGGCAGCTGCCTCTCGGTCTTCGTTGGCCTGAGCCTTCTTCGTTTGCAATTCTCGCTTCACCGTCGCCTCATCTTCTCCGGCGGCGACGCGCTGGGCCAGCTCTGCCTTTTCGGCACCATTTAAACGCCAGCTTGACACATTTTTCAAGGCAGTCATTGCAGGGAAACACAGAGCCACACCTACTACGACCACGAATCGGCCCCAGTCACCTTGAACCAGAAAAAATACGGGCACAGCAGTTCTCACGACGACGTCTTCAAGTGAGGAAGTCAATTTCATTGACATCAAGCAGCTATAAGAATGCGGTGCAATGCATCGTACCAGATTAGGTATATTTAGTAATATATACATTTACAATTCAGTACGCAATTTCGATTTCCCAAAATTAGCCATTAAATTAATCCTAGTCCTAATCAACAGGGCAAACGGGGCTTTGCCGCATCTTTTTTCCCCACAGCCTTCTGTGCTTCTGTCAGTGTCCCGCTCCGGGCCGGAATCTAGTGGTCTTGCAAAGACCTCATGACGGCAGCCTGAGCTTCCATCAGGCTAGCTACGCTCCTAGCGAGCGACGAGCCCGTAGGCTTCTCGACGGACTCCTTTTTTTCTCAGTCTTCTTCTCCTTTTTCTTGCTGTCCGTCTTCTTCGTCGCTTCCTTTTTTTGGTCAGAGGAGGGCGACGAATCTTCTTCCGCCGTCACATCTTCAAACTCCGACGACGACGAAGACTGTTTTTCTTTCTTTACATCCGGCTTCTTTTTCTCAGCGCCGCGAGAACCGCCACTTGGGTTGGCGTTGGAAGCCTTGTGTCGCCGCTTGTTGTCCTCAGGCGCTGCAACTGGCCGGCCACGACGGGATTTCTCCTGGGCGGGGGGCGGCACGCTTGGCGGCCTGGGCACCTTTTCCCGCAGACGTACAGGTTCGGCTGCAGCGCGAGGTGCGGAGTGCTCTGAGCGGCGCGAGGGGGCTCTGGAGGTTCCTCTTTGTTCGCCCTCGCAAGGGCTTGCTCCCACTGCCCCTTCCGTGAGACCAGTAATAGGCCACGAGGTGGTACTTGGAGTTGGCTACGTGGGCAGCCATTCCCACTTCGCCGCCACCGACGGTTTGGAGGCAGACCGCGCACTGCTGCACATCATCCGGCGGCCTGTCATGGTGACCGCCAGTGCGTGGAGTTCGAGATCTCCCACCGTCGTCGTCGGCCTTTCCTTTGTCGTCACGACGATCATCCCGCCGGTGCTCGTCCCGGCGGCGGCGGCGGTGGCGGCGTTGGTCGGTCTCCTTTGCCGGATGCTCCTTAGCTTCCCGCCGCTTAGGAGGATCCTCATCCATCTTGTCCCTTGCCCGCCGATCAGGACCTTCACGGGACTTCGCCGACGACGAATCATCGTCGTCATCATCATCATCCGCCGGCCGGCTTTGCCGGCGGTCTGGGGTGACGGGCCGGTCATCCCCACCTCCCGCAGGAGGATCACCCGTCTCACGGCGGGTTTCCGTCATGGCTACCTGTCAGGGGCACGACAATGCAAGCGACGATTGGGAAGATGACAGTATATGACGATTCTGATGACCCTGAGCATCGAATATTGATCCTAATCAATCTATTGATTTTAGAAAAAATCAATTCAAATCAATCTAAAATATTGAAAAAATGATTTTGAAATCAATCCAAAATTAATAGGTTTTGAAGGCAAAAATCAATATGCAAATCAATATACAAATCAGTATATAAATCAATTCAAATCAATTTACAAATCAATTCAAAAATGAATTGGTTGAACTCTGATTTTGTTACCCTTCCCTTAACCTTGTGTTCTCACAGCTCTTTTGCTTGTGAGCTTGGGGTTGAAGTTCCTCACCTTGCTTTGAAGGGAGGCAGGATTCTCTCCATTTGCAGCTTCCCTTTTTCAAAGGTGAAACTGCTTTCCCATCTTCTATTCCATGTTGCCTTCCTTTTCCATTTTTTTGCAACCCCTTTTTCAAAGGTTGGATCCCCTTTTCCAAAGGCTTCAGGCTTTGTCGCATTCCCTTTTCCAAAGGTTATACTTATACAGACTCTGTTGCACCTTTTTGCAAAGGTTTTTGCATATGTTGTTCTTCCCTTCCTCAAGGGTCTGGGGAGAATTCTTTGGCAGTCTCTGCAAAGCCTTCTCTAGTTAAGAGCAAGTGAAGCAGCACTTGGTACTTGGGGGCTACCTTCACTGACAGCCTGGTGGCACTTACCCCAGAAGAGATGCTATAAGTGAGCAAGCTGACTTTGCCCACAAAATCTTCATTGCTGAAGCACCAATGGCACCTAGGGTTCAGCCATCGAGAATTCTCAATCATGTGCTGAAGTGCATGGTGCTTGTACACCTTATGGAAGAGAAGTCTCTCTTCCTCTTCAGCCCATGCATTCAGCATGGAATAGATGTCAAAAAACCCTTTCCCAAGGGTAAAAACCTTCTCCCACTCTGCAGTGGTGAGCACAATGTCTGCATCACCATACAGATCCACCACTTGTTGTAAGTGTTCCATGCAGTCCAGCATGCACCTTTCTTGGTAGACATCAGCTTGCAGCAATGATCTGCAGACCACCAAGAATGCTGGAAGCATGTGTTTTGCCTCACTACCCTTAATGCTCAAAGAAGGGTATGAGGTGTGAGGGTTCTTGGGGTCTGTGAACATGGTGAGCCTGAGATTGCTCAACCTGGTTGGGCTGTCCAGCTCTTTGTATGCCTTTTGCAAGGCTTCCCACACCACTGCTAACCGCTCCTGGGGGGATTTTTTTGTCTTCCAGGGTTGAACCAACACATGTAGTGGAGGACACTCCCCAGGAGGTGTGAGTAAACCCCATGCACAAAGCATATGTGCAGTGCATCACCCCTGACAAATTTGGTTGACAGCCCTGGGATGGCATTGAACAAGGGGTTTGAGCTGCAGGGATGTGCTAATGCCTGTGCATGGGTCACCCTTGTGAAGGCTTGGGTGTCCATTTCCAAATTTTTGAAATACTTTCCCTGATTGGCAGTGCTGGAGGATGCATCGCACTCATGGCAAGGCCTCTTGCTGGCCCAGTGGGGCAGGCCAAGGGCCAATGCAAAAAATTCAGCATCGCCCACCACTGCCCAAATCACACTTTTGTATCCATTTGCCAATGGTTTCCCTTTGCTTGCAAAGAAGGGCGATCCCTTTTTCAAAGGTGCACCATCAGAATCATGAGATGGGTGCAAGCCATTGAGGAGAGCACTGAATGACCAGCAGACCTCCTTCAGCAAATCATTCCATGTCTCCTCAGTTGTTGCTGACTTTGGCCAGCAGGAGATCAGGAACTTGCTTTGCAAGGAGTTGAAGCATGTCATCAAGGCACCCCAAGACCAGACCATTAAAGAATTGTTGTTGGCATATTGAACACCATCCCCATGGACAAAGAGTGGAATGGTGAACTTTTTCCAATTCCTGGTCTTCATGGGGTGCCCTTCCAAAGCTGGATCCCCTCTTTTTTCAAGAGTTTGCCAGAATTGTTCCAGCAGTGCTGTTGGAAAAAAATCATTGAAGTTGGGCAGTGCTGCCAAGCTGGAGAAGAGCATGTGTGGAAGGATCACTGCTGCTTCTTCCTTTTCCTTTTTCAAGGATTTGGGGTTGAGGCATTGAACTGGGACCTGCATAACCTCAGGCACAAAAACATCCTTGACAAACCTGGCCATGAGGTCCCTGTGCACATTGCCAGGATAAAGGCCATGGCTCCCTGCCCTTGCTACATCACAAACCTCTGGATGGGTGCAGCCATCCAGCATTGCTTGCTCTGCTAACCACCTGCAAGTGGCTGCTGAAAGCTTGCCATGGGCCCACAAGCTCAGAAGGGCTGTGGCTAGTTTGCTGCTTTTCCCTTTCTCAAAGGTTTTCTTGCCAGGTTTGAGTTTCTCTTTTTCAATATCCACACCTCTCAGCCTCTTTACACCTTGCATCACCCTTTTGCAAAGGCTGCCTGGCCCCTTTTGCAAAGGTCACCTTGTGGGCAAAGCCTTTGTGAAAAGGTTGGCTTGTGACCCAAGGCTTAAGCCAAAAAGCTGCAGACATGAACACATGTGGTTGGTGAGAGGGTGGGGGGTGCAACAAAAGTTTAAAAGTGCAGCTTAGGTGCATGGTGAAACACATTAAGTTACAAACAGCAACAAGTACCACACAGCCACCCCAAGAAGCACCAGCAGCCAGAAGCAATCATTTTGCACAGGTTGGTTGGTCTGTGCCTGGTGCTTTTGTGCCCAGGCCACTTAAAAAATGCTACCCATCCCTTGTGAAAGAGTTGCTGTGTGAGGGGTGTCCACTTGCCATCCCCTTTTGCAAAGGCAGCCCCCTTTTTCAAAGGTGTATATGTGTTCACACATACATTGCAGAGGTCGACTTAGTCTCACACACAACAAACACTTTCTTTGTGCCCACCCTTTTGCAAAGGTGATTTCCTCTTTTACAAAAGTGCACCCCTTTTGCAAGGATTCTGCCATGTGTTCACTTTCTGGAACTCTTGGACTGGGTTTTCATACTGATCTGGACAAGCTCCTTGGCTTCCTCTTTGGCTTCTGATATGGTGGCCACAGCTTCTTTCAATAGATCTTTGGTGGTGTTGACCTTTCCCTTGTCACCTTTTGCAAGTTGTTTCTTCACTTTCCCAAGTGTAGTTTCCAGCTTTGAAAGCTGTGCTTCCTTTTCTAGGTACTGCATGCCTTTCACTTTTCCAAGTGCTTCTTCATAGTTTGTCATGCACTGCTGCACCAAATCCCTGGTTTTCTTGAGCTTCTTGAGGCACTCAGTTTGCTGCTCATCTGGTGGCAAGTCTTCAAGTGCTTTGGGTGTCTCTGGGTTGGTATCTCCTTTGCCCCTGCCTTTGCCCTTTTTGGGGCTCACCTTCCCTTTCCCTTTCCCCTTCCCAGGGGTTTGATCCATCATCAGAGAGTGCAGCTCCTTTTCCAAGAAGTTGTCCCAACTTTCATATTCATCTTCATTCTGCTGGAACTCCTGGCCTTGGGTCCAGATCCTTTTGGCTGTTCCTGTGTTTTTTTTGTGTAGTCCATTGTGTCCATGTACTCATAGACCCCCCAAGTTGTCGCACACTGCCTCCACTGCACCCTGCCACTGGAGCAATGCTTTTCCAAATCATCTCCCCGTTTTTCAATGGCTTCTTTTTCTGATAACCATTTTTCTGTCATGGTCACCTCTTGCTTGGTGCCAATGGACCTGCTAACATTGCAGAACTTGGCAGCTTCCTTTCTCATGAGGAAAAGGGCTGTCAGCTCTCCCTTTTCATTTTTAGATGCATTGTTGAATGCATCCCTTTCTTCCTCATTGCCATTCTTGTTGAGGTGGGTCTGGTGTTTGGACCAAGTCCTGCTTTTTTCTGCTGTGGTCATACTCTTTTGCAGCTCCTTGGCTGCTTCATGTTCATCATCATTGGTTTCTGCGATTTGTTTGATTTTGTCCTGGAGGGACAGCTGCCCCAACTTTTGCAAGTTGTGTTTCTTCAAGATTCCTTTCTGGACTGCACCTTTTTTCAAAGGTTTCCCCTTTGCAGAGGCTGGTTTCCCCTTTGCAGAGGTGTTCTTCCCTTTGGCAAGGGTTTGATTCCCCTTCCCAGAGGTTTGTTTCCCCTTTGCAGAGGTTGATTTCATTGCCTTTTTCATAGCCTTCATTGGCTTCCCCATTGCTGCAAAAACAAAAGGGCTGTACAGAAGGAGTTTTGATATCAAAATGGCTGCAATGCAATTTGGTTTTGGGCGCATGTTTTTTTAGGATTTGTTTGATTTTCAATGTGATTGTTTTTTTTCCATGGGCATGTGGTGACAAGAAAAAACAGTTCTGATGAAATCTGATGAAATCTGATGAAAACATGGCTGTCATCAGATTTCATCAGAAAATTAGAACTTGTATTTTCTATTCATGTCCTGATTTAAGTTGGGAATTCTTGGTTTGAAATTGCAGTGCAACCCTTTTGCAAGGGTGCCCAAATTACCAAACATTTGTTTCTAAGAACTGGTTGTTGATAAGGTTTTTCTTTTGGTTTTTTTTAAAGTTCTTTATATATTGGTTTGTTTACTAACTTGTTGTTTAAAGTTTGTTTTAAGTCTTTTGAAATATCCAAATACCTGTATATTAATCCATTTTTTTGGTGAATATATATATATATATATAGAAAAATAAATAATATATATATATATATAATATATATAATATATATATTGTTGTATATTTGTTTCTTAAATAAATGAATAAATTTATTTGTATTTATATTTATATGACTTTCAAATATAGTCAATTTACATAAATTAATTTATTTTATATATATATATATATTTTTATTTTGGTTGGCCTGTTTGGCCTCCAGGTTTCTGTGCCAAGCTGCTGCCGCTGCATACTGGGAAGCAACAACTGGGTTACAAGCAAATGTGTTTCTTATTAATAGTTACTTGTACTGTACCTTAGTTTTTGGGCAGTGGCAGCAGCTATCTTTGGCCAAAAACATGCAGGTGAAACATACCCTTTTTCAAAGGTAAGTTGTTGTTTGATTCATCCCTTTGCCAAGGGTACTTGCTTTTGGCTGCACCCTTTCTCAAAGGTGTTTTGTTTGTGGATACCCTTTTTCAAAGGTATTTGTTTGGTCAAGCCCTTTCTCAAAGGTGTGGTGCTGCCACCCCATTTTGCTTTTTTGAAAAAGGCGCTGACAGCTTTTGAGAAGGAGCCATACAGGGGCAGGCCTTGGTCAGAAACCCAGCTGTAACTTTTACCTGGGCTTCTGATGCAGTAGACCTCAATGCCCTGTTGGTGGCATTCCTTGAGGATGTCCATCCCATCCTCAAAGATGGTGGTGCAGCCATATTGGTTGCACAGGGCTGCTTTCCCACCAGCACCACTTCTTTCTGTAGTGCTGATGAAGGTCACCTTGGTGAACCAATCCTCTTTTTCAAGAGTGGCAAGCACTTCTTTTCTCCTGTGGGTGAAGCACCAGGAGCAAACCACAACTTCAATCCCCTTTTCCAAGAGTAGCTTCATGGCAGACCTGTTTCCAGGTGTGATCTTCCCATCGACTTCCAGGGTCCAATGGAAATCAACCATGACCTTTCCCTTTCTCAAAGGTGTGGCCTGTTCAACCTGATCTTTTTTGACTGATGCTGCAGATGCAGCTGGTGCTGCAGGTGCTTCTGCAGATGCAGCTGGTGCTGCAGGTGCTTCTGCAGATGCAGCTGGTGCTGCTGGTGCACCTGATGCTGCAGCTGGTGCTGCAGATGCTTCTGCAGATGCAGCTGGTGCTACTGGTGCAGCTGATGCTGCAGGTGCAGCTGGTGCTGCTTGCCCCTTCTCCAAGGGTTCTTGTCCACCTGTGGTTGTTCCCTTCTCCAAGGGTGCCTCATCCTTTGCCTTTTCTTCAGGGATTCTGCACAGCCCCTTTTTTCATTGCAGCTTTCATGCCAGGCAAGTCTTGCTTCTTCCTTTTTCCTCCACTCCCTCCTCACCTTTGGCCCCCTGCTCCTGGAGGACGATGCCATGGAGACATCACTCCCCCTGCTGCCCCTGGAGCTGTTGGAGCTGCTCCTGCTCCTTCCCCTTCCCTTTGGTTTGGGAGGTGTTGGTGGCCTTCTCTTTCTGCCACCTTCCTGCTCCTCCTCCTCCTCCTCATCCCAGGCATCCCTCACCCTCCACCCATCATCTCTTTCCCAAGAGTTTGCCCATTCACCTCTTTCCCAAGAGTTTCTCCAGTTTCTCCACCAACCTCTTTCCCAAGAGTAATCACTTTCCCATGAGTCATCTTCCCAAGAGTCATCTCTTTCCCAAGAGTCATCTCTTTCCCAAGAGTTTTCTCCAGGCTGGTGTGGCTGCAGGTGCAGCCTTTGGAGCTTCCTTTTGGTGGAAGTGGTCCCCTTGCCAACTTTTTTACCAGCCTTGTTTCTGCCATCACCTTTTGCAAGGTGTTTCCAATTCATCTTCCACATCCAGCTGGGAGAACTAGTGGTCAATGTTTTCCCAGGCCACCAGTCACCATCCCCTTCTCCCAAGGGTTTGTCCAGTCCCTGAGGAACTGGGGTTCCCAACATCCCTTTTGCAAAGGGTTAAGCACAGGCCACCCTTTCTCAAAGGTAGTATTGGGAGAGCGAATTGGGGAAAAAAAACTTTAAAAAAACTGCTTGAGCAGAAAGGCTGCAGCAGTGGAAAAAGCTGCAGCAGCAACCACTCACCAAACATGTCAACATGAAACACTTAGGGGGCTTCAACCAAACCTAAGAAGCATTTAGGGGACCTATACAGCCCAAAAAACATTTAGGGTGGTTACAAACCAAAAATCATTTAGGGGAGACTGCAGCGGAGCTGCACTGGTAACGAAGATTGGGCTCTTGTCCAAGTTGCGGAGACAGAGCCAACTCAAGGCCAAAGTGCACCGAGCACTGTTTCACACGACCGCACGAGGTCTGCGCCACACCATTCAAATAGCTCAGTGAGCCAGGCAAAAGGGGCCCCTGAGAGCCATATATTACAACAGCCAATTGCGAGGTGAAATGTGTGAACCGACTGATCTATGAATGTGCTGATCTGATCCTATGTGACATGCCAAACCTGCACGGGGGGCAAAAGAAGTCAGATCAGCATCGCCTCGCTCAGAAAGGCTCACAGGGCCAGGGTTAGCTGCAGCACTCAGCGCATGCTCGTCCGCAGGTAAATCACGAGCAATGATTGCGAGATCAGGCTGCAAAGCTTGTTCTGGTACTTCACCAGCATTGATTGCGAGATCATGCAAATGTTCAGGTTCCGCTCCAGCATTGATTGCGAGCTCACGCTGCAGTTTCTGTAGAAATACATCAGCAGCACTGATTGCAAGATCTGCTAAATTGTGATGGGAAATGACAGGATCTTCACGGAGAGGAGAAAAATGTTCACCAAGTGCATCATCAACTTTTTGAACTGCTGTCTTTCCAATCTTTCGGTTCTTCTTGGCGGCAACGAAATTTGGATCATACGCTATTGACCAAAGCCAAGTCTTGAGGAACTTGGTGAGGCCGATTCTGGAATCCATGCGCTTTTTGGTCATGGCATCGGCCAAGTCATAGTCTGATGCCAACCAGCGAAGATAGCATCCAACTCGTTGGAGATTGTCACGGAGCTGGAAGGCCTGTAAGGCCGCACGCAAATTTGAAAGTCCAAGCAGTGGTGACTCGTTCACCTCAACAGCATCGTATCCACCTTTTGAGTCTGTGCAGAGAATTCCCTTGGTTGTTAGAGCTTGCTCCTCTGCCATTTCGACTAGATCAACTCTTCGTGCTGGTCGTAGAGCTCCTGCACCATGTAGCTCTGACCACAAAAGTCGCACACGAAAATTTTGATCTTCAGCTTCTACAATGCTTTGGACTTCTGCATCATTGCTACCTATCGCCTTGCGCTTCAACTTCCAGCTTCGCCAGGAGAGAAGGCACATAGGAGAGACCTTGCCAGACACGGACTCAGGACCGCTCGCAAGGGTAAGCATGCCACCAGTGGAATCACCTTTGGGTCTGTTGGTGTGAGCTTGATCACCCATAGAAATGAAAACAACATCATCCCATTTCTTCACATCCTTGAACTTCATGAACCTGAGATGTGATGGATCTTGTCGGACTTCTCCGATCATGGCTTGAATCTCTCTGGCATGTTCAAGGCGTCCATCAGTCACCACCTCAGTTAGAAGAAGGTTGCAACGGGCACAAAGTTGTGGTTGTCTGGATGGCCAACCATTGCAAGGCGCCGAGGGCCGTGCGACAGGCCGCAACTTCTTTGGAGCTCATGGGGCCGTCAGCTCTGATTCTATCGCCAGGTATTTCAACATCAACCAAGGACTCCACATAGGCGTCTTGGTCCACAGTGATGTAGACTTGAGGCCGGGGGTGGATGACGAAAGCTAGCGGGGTAGGAGAAAGAAGGAAGGGAAGAGGTGAGTTGCGGAGGGACTGTCATTATCGTGTCGCGGCATTGTTCGTCCCAACAAGGATGCAACAATGATATATTGATATATGATATATAACAATGATATATATGGGGGAGGGGGCAGGGGGGGGCCCTTTCGCGGGAAAAATCACATGATGTCCTTGGGGAGCCCCGGAATACGTGCTAAAGCAAGAAGACTCTAGCGAGCTAACACTAGCTTTAGTGATAATGAGAATAATTGCCAATAATGATAAAATGTAATTGAATAACGATGATGATGATGATGATGATGCTGATGATGATGCCGATGATGATGATGATGATGATGATGATGATGATGAATGATGAATGATGAATGATGAATGATGAATGATGAATGATGAATGATGAATGATGAATGATGGATGATGAATGATGATGATGATGATGATGACGAGGATGATGATGATGATGATGACGATGACGATGACGATGACAATGACGATGACGATGACGAGGACGAGGACGATGACGAGGACGAGGACGAGGACGAGGACAACGACGACAACGACGACAACGACGACGACGACGACGATGATGATGATGATGATGACGACGAGGACGAGGACGAGGACGATGGAGAGGACGATGGAGAGGACGATGACGATGATGATGACGATGATGATGACGATGATGATGATGATGAATGATGAATGCTGAATGATGAATGATGAATGATGAATGATGAATGATGAATGAT